TTGAAAAAAAAAAAAAAAGACCTCTCCTCACTGTATCTCACTGCACCCTGTGCACCTCTGGCACCTGTTTTTGTTCTGTGGTGGTGGAAGGCTCCTCCACACTGTCTCCACACACCTCAGGCCCACTCAACCTTAAGGCCAGCTCAGGTGCCCCCTTCTCTCTGGAGCCAGTGTACTCAATCCAAGCTCTGGGTCTACACCTCTGGTGGGGCACCTGGCATGTCCTGCTTGTGGTATGGCAGCTGCTTGATGTGTCTCATCTCCTCTGTCGTCTGAATGCACCCTGAGAGTGTACCGTGTCCCACCAATTGTCTCTGTCACAGCAGGCTGCACATTGCACATGGGGAAGTGTTGTAAGTTGGACTGAATCTGCTGCCCTGTGATGGTGTGTGAGGCGTTGGTTCAGGATGTTCTTATGGCCTCACTGGAATGCACCATTCTGGCAGTTCCCAACTTGCTCTGTGCGCTGCCTGAGGCCCCCTGAGCCTACCTTTCCACAAGCCCCTGATCCCTTCCTCCCTGGCGATGGTTCTGTAGGCATCCATAGTTCCGCTGTATTTCCTGCCGCTCTCCGGCCCCAGGCGTATGCTGGCTTGGAATCGTATCTTCACTACATCCGTGGGCTGCGCACAGGTTACTGCCATGGCTCCTGTGGTGCAGCCTGCTAGAAGCCGGGTGGCGACGCTGGCATCTGGGGAAGGCCAAGAGAATATGCCAGAGTCCATGCCAACCAAGGCTTTTCTCCAAGCTGCCCACACCCTTCCCCCACAGAAGGGCCTAGGACTGTCCCTGATGCCACCAGCCTTCTGCATGTTGTAACAGCTTCCCACATCTGGGCTGTGCCTCTGAGTCTAGACTGCTCTTGGGTCCTGAACCACAAGTAAGTTCCGCTTCCATTGCCCCCTTGGTGTCCGTGGGTTCTGGGCACTCACGGTCTGCTCCCGTGGGGGTGTAGAACTGCTTGACTGAGTCATAGAGCCCGATGCGGATGGAGGCAAAGCTCATCTGGCGGTGCAGCCCGGCCACCAGCCCATTGTAGGGGCTTCGGAGGCCTTCGGTGCGCACCATGGTCAGGATGGTGCCCAGCACGCCGCGGTACTGCACTCTCTGGGCTGCTGGGTTCTCTCCTTGTATCTGGAGGACAATCACAGAGGCTGAGGGGCGGGTGGTGGTGGGAAGGGGCTGTGCACAGGGCGCCTGTGTGGGCTGGACCCGCCTGCCTGGGTCTTGAGGACCAACTTGTCCTTCACATCACAATGAGGTTTTTGAGAACATTTTATAGTTCTCAAAACTACATTGTATTTCGTGCTGAACTGTACCTTATATTGTACATGTGGAGTCCTATAATTTTCCTTTTAATTTGCTCATACATCATGGTTGGGGTAGATGTAAGAGATTTGACTCTGTCAATTTTCTTTGTATGATTCGATTTCAGTGATTATCTGTTTTAAAAATTAAATGCTAAGATTTTAAGTTTTCCCTTTTGTTGTCCAAAACCTGTCATTTAGCCAGCACAAAAACATTGTAAAACAAACAAACCCCAACACTATATTGTACACACTGTGGCATTTTATCTTCAGAGAAAACCAGAGGTGCAGAAGTTTTTTCTATTATATAAATGATTAGTGGCTTTCCCAGTCACACAGTTCCTTCCCTTTGTTTCACACTTTCTGGTTTACAAAGCAGGGCCAGGCAGTAAAGGGCCCTGTCGCATCCTACCTAGACATTTAGATTTTCTCTTGTCTTGGGCACTGGTGGTGGGGAGGAGGCAGGGAAGGGTCCTAAGCAGTGGCGTGTGTGGTCTCCCCGGGGCTCTGTGTGAGGATGCACGTGTTGGCTGATGGCCTGAGTGTGTGGAGGAGGTGGCCAGCCCCTCCTTCGATGTGAACAGTGATTGGAGGCTGAAGGGCACCTACCTGCAAGCGGACCTTGGCTGTGTCGAGTGGAAATGTGAGGAGGTCAGCAAAACAGGCCGCGCTGCCCGCCCCCAGGAACTTCACGGCTGTCGTGGGAGGCACTTCTGAAGGCTTCAGTCCAACCATGGTCCCAGCAAGATCAGGCCAAGGCCTTTGGGGCCCAGCAAGGTCCGGGGAGAGAGATGACTTCAGCGTCAGGAGGAGGCTGCAGGAGACAGGCCAGGGAAAGCAGATGGGCCTGTGCTGTCTGGCCTGTCCCAAGTCTGGGAGCCCACAGCTCCAGGAGGGGCTGTATAAAGCAGCAGCCTGGCCATTTCCACACCTGCACCATGTGAGTTTGGCTTATAAAAATAGGTTACTTTCCTATTTTTCCTCCCTCACATCTTGCAATTTTCACTATTCCCTTCCCGTGAGAGGCACGCAGGGCCACTGGTGGTGTCTTCATTCTGTGGATGAGGAAACCAAGGCTCAAACAGGAACCAGGCATGGCTCTGCTCCATACACACCCTGTTCTCCCAGTGTCCAGTGACTTCCCGTGACAGGCTTGCTGTTCGCCTGGGCCCCAGAGGTGCCTCATCAGCCCATCTTCCTCTCCCAAACAACTTCAAGAATTTTCTCATGACTCAATGAAATTGTCATTCATTTGGATCAAGACTCTCTGCCTCCAAGAATGCTTGAATACACTTTTGTTGTTCATAAAGCAGATAAAATAAAACAGCCCTTCTCAGCTGTGGTTCTTTTTCTGTGTCCAAAGATATATTTCAAGGTTTCTGGACCAGTGTTCTGTCTGTGACGCTAGGAGGGAGACTGGGCCTGGGCACTCCACTGCTAGCCCCTCAGCTGGCTCCAGGGGAGATGGACTGATGCTCTTCCCCTGGCTTGGCACATCCCCTCTCTTGCCTTATGCTACCAAGTTGGCCCTTCCCAGCTGACGAGGATGAGTCTTTTAGACAGGGGAGTGTTGGGGACCAGGCTAAGGGTTAAGGAACCAGTCACCATCCTCTCAGAGCTCACATTCACAGCCTCTGAAGGCAAGATAAGGCAGCAACTGAGGACATTTAGTTCGCACTCCTTATTCAGGCAATAACTGCCAACTAAGAGATAAGACTGCTCTCAATTAGCAAGATTTACTGCTTGGAATGCCTTTAGTCCAACTTGTCAAATCTTGCTCATTTTCACCTGCCTTTTGTCTCACCTCAGATGTGCCCTCCATTTCCCTGCAGCCCTCTGATTTGTCAAGGACCCGGTGAATTCTAACAGTCCAGAGAAGTCTTTGTTTTAGTTCCAAGAAAGCTCCTGCCTTCCTAGACTCCCACAGACCATTGCATTGTCTCTTTTACTTAATCCTTTTCCATAAGCTTGTTAATAAGATTGGGAGTCTGATCAGCTCCTGACAATTGCCTGAGCCTCGAGACTATAGAAGGAAGTCTTCATGGGAAGGATTGCAAAGGTGTCTCCAAGGGAATGGAAAGGTAAAGCGTTCCCTGCCACAAATAGCCATTTAGCAGCTGGGAATAAATATGTGGCAGAAGCAGTGAGTCGAAGAGCAGAGATATAAGCAGCTGCTCTGAAGCTTATTAAAACACTCATGGGATCATGTGCTGACCAGAAATTTATCAGAAGTGCTACAGGAAGTACCCAAGCATAATCCGTGGTTTCCTCAGGCAGACAATTTGGATATAGGTAATTGGGTAAGAATTGGGAAAAAAATCTTAAATGGGCATATAACAGAGGAGAAATGGTTTTCCCTGAGATCTTTTCAGATTGGAACTTAGTATGATCTTCTTCAAAAATATTACAAGATGTTACCAAACATAACCCAGGATTCTTGCAGTTAGGAACTTTGGATGTGGATACTTGGGACAGAGTGAAATAAAATTTAAAAATTCCTTGACTAGGGAAAGATAAAGACAAAAGTAGAGACTATTTCATAGCCTGCACCTCCAGATTTTTTTGAGGCTGACACAGTGCATCTAAGATGGCCATGTGGTCACTGTCAGAGGTGGTGATAACAAAGGAGGTGGTGGCGCAACACAGGCAGTGTCTGGCCTGGGCCTGAAGAGCCAGAGCACCACTATCAGGAGTGACTGGCCTGGCGCATGGGGAGTGTGGGTGAGTGGGAAAGCTGGCCATGCGCAGGCGTGGTGCAGGGCACCGAGGGGTGGGTTTCACCCTCAGGGGCTGTGTCCATGGCAGGGTGGCACCAGTTGCCAATGTCACAGCCCAGCAAGCGGTGCCTGTGGAGACAGCAACATGGCAAGCCAGTGAGAGAACCATGTAATGGAAAAGCAGCTTCCCCTCTGCATCATTTGGCCATGCTTGTGTGGTGGCCCACATGTGCAGTCTTACCTATACAGCAGGCAATTCACAGCTTCATTCACAAGCAGACAAAATTATCATGCTGCGGGGGGGCCTCCCCATTAGCTCAGCTGTTTAAGTACCTGCTTAAAGAAAGCAGTCAGGCTCACAATCTGCGGTTCGATCCCCAGATCCTCAAGCCAAACCAGACCTGCCCTGAAGGCATCAAGAGGCCAGAAAAAAAAAAATCATGCTGCAAAAAGATTTTAAAAATATAAATAAAAATTATATTCAGTCCGTTAAAGTGGCCAGGACCACAAAAATATCTTAAAATTACCTAAATGCTTGTCAAGATATAAAATGTTATTAAAACACAATGTTAACTCAAACTGTGTTAAGTCTTTTAGAGAAGGCTTCCAAAAACACTATTAGAAGACAAGGTCTGTGTAAGTGACAAAAGGTGTAAAAGTGCCCAAGCCAGAGGCTAAATGAAAAAAAAAAAAAAAAAGGGCCAGAGTTTCCAAAATAAAGTATGAAACACTACTGATTATAGGTAAAAGGTTTTTATCCTTCTAATTTTTTTTATTTATGTATTTAGTACAGGGTCTATAGGGATCTCACTACAAAGATTGGACTTGCAGTGATCCTCTTGTTTTTAGCTTCCCAAGCTCTGGGATTACAGGTGCTCATCACCACGCCCAGTCTCAGTCACCATCTCAGTGTGCTGGAGAGAAGCGGGTGGCAGCATGGCACACTGGGGATCGAACCCCAGTCACTGCACCTGCCTAAGCAGGCACTTTAGTCCACTGAGCTATTTGGCTGGCCCTTCCTTCTAATTCTTATTATAGGAATCTCTGTTAATTGACCTACAAAAAGTTCTGACTAGTCATTTATGGTTACAAACGTAAAAATTATGAGTTATTATAATTCAATTTGGCCAAATATATCTTAGTGCACTCTGATTTTATAAACAAACTGTCTTTTTTTTTTTTAAATTTGTGTGTGTGTGTGTGTGTGTGTGTGTGTGTGTGTGTGTGGCCAGCTCAGCCCACCAGGGAGCGGGGCTGACTGGCATGTGGTGCTGGGGGATTGAACTGCGGTCCCTACGTTTTGCCAAGCTTGTTCCAAGTAGGTGCTTTAGACCACTGAGCCATCTCACCAGCCCCTAAACAAACTGTCTTATGTATGTTTTTCTGTCTGTACTATAATTACAGCTGTTTTGTTTGGCCTACACAATTTTTCTTTTTCTTTTGCTTTTTTAGATTTCTTGAACATTTGTCTGTAGTTTAATTTGGCTCATAGATAAATGTCATTAAAATTAAAGTTATGCTTCCACTCAGGTGACCACTGATCAACATGATCTTTTTTTAAATTTTTATTTATTTGAGAGAGAGAGAGAGAGAGAGAGAGAGAGAGAGAGAGAGAGAGAGAGAGAGAGAGAGAGAGAGAGTGTGTGTGTGTGTGTGTGTGTGTGTGTGTGGCCAGCTCAGCCCACCAGGGGGCGGGGCTGGCTGGCATGTGGTGCTGGGGGATTGAACCGCGGTCCCTGATGCTTTGCCAAGCTTGTTCTAAGTAGGTGCCTTAGACCACTGAGCCATCTCTCCAGCCCCAACATGATCTTAAGATTGGTTTTACAAATGTAATACACATTATTGTCTGTCTTCGATAACTTGTGATTCTTTTATTGATCAAAATAATGTATTAATTATTATGACCTCATTCTCATAGGTCATCAAAACTTTGTAAGAAAATTAAATAGAAACTCCCCAGGAAACTGTTGGACAGGACTTTCCTTGATGAATAAAGGAGAAGCTGCTTGGAAATACATTATTCCAAACTTTGTTCACTAAGGACATCCTGGTGGTCTCCATAGTTTTATGGAGACACCCCAATAAATATTGTTTAATATATTATTGTGATGTTTACATTGGTCATTGTAAAAAAGTTAAGTTTTATATAAATAACACCATAAGGTTTTTTTCATCAAAAGATACTCTTCAAAATTAAATTAAATTAAATTTAAAAATTGAAAAAAAAAGATGCTCTTGGTACAAAACTAAATTAAGAGTCAAAGTTTTCATATAGCTATGACACTCGTTATTACTAACTTCTTGGTATACTGAGTATATTCATGCCTTCTGAGTGTAAGGGTCTTCTAAGATATAAAACCAGGATTGCTTACAGTGATAACCTTTTTCTTTTAAACTCAGACATTTGCCTTTTTCTTGTGCTCCAGTTACTTGTGATAGATATATGTCAAATCAACATGAGATTACTAGTCAAGTAATAATCCTTAAAAAAACTTATGTAAAAACAAGGGGGATATAAGGACCATTTTGTAGTAAAAAAAAAAGTTTATACAAAGTAGTTAGGATAGATATACAGCTACTTTCTTTTAGTTCAATGAGAAGAAAGGTTTGTATTAATATTATTTAGACAAGATATCATGTCTGTATAACTACTATGAAGACAATAAATATTTGTCCTCTGAATAACTACTATGAAGACAACAATATGCAATGTATTAATTATTGTAACTGTCCTACTAACCTGTTTTGAAACTGTTTCATTGCTATTTTATCTTTTTTCTCATTAGATGAATAAAAAATTTAAAAACCTTACGTAGTGTATGCGTTATATATGTCACTCTGTTCTATACTAAGATGGATATTTAAGTGTGTTCCAAAATTAATGTCATTGTTATAGTCATGCTGAAACACTATATGTGGCTTTCGATCTCAAATTTTCTTTGTAAAACCATATAACTGTTTTCTGAATTATTAAAACAACCATGGTTAATAAGAAATAAAAGACCTCTTTCTATTAACTCACTGCTTCCACTACAATACTAATGTAGCTGATTTTTTTCTTTTGGGTGTTCAACAGTTAAAGTTTAGAGGCCAGAAT